CCACGAGTCCCCCAGCGAGGTCCAGAGCTCATTTTCACTGGAGGTGACATTGTCCCGCAGCAGCGCCACGGCCTCGGACGTCAGGTGCGGCCGCCGCACGCCGCTCGCAAACTTGGGTCCGCCCGACATGTCCACAATCTGCCGGGGGCGGGCAGGAAGGGGCACGCCATCAGACCCTCTACCAGAGGAACCCCGATTCCGCCTGCCGCAGGGGGCGCGAGGGCCGAGGCGGGCGGTCTCACCACGTGCAGAGGGCCGAACAGGAAGTGCAGCAGCTCCGCGGAGGAGGGGTTGGCGATGTTGCCGCGCAGCCGCGCCTGCGGGTTGGGGGAGGGGCGGGCATTAGCGCGTGGGCCGGGCAGGCTCGCCGTCCCCGCGCCCGTGCTCCGCGCGGACGCGTCCTCACCAGCAGGCTGAAGGCGTACTTGATTTTCTGAAGCACGTCGGTGTACTCGGCCTCGCTGGGCGGCTTGGCCCGCAGCGCCAGGAGGCCCTCTGTGGGCAGGGGGGCAGGCGAGGTGAGGGGGGACACAGAGGAAACGTCAGAGAGAGGGAGAGCCCCCAGAGATCGGGATGGGGAGTCAAGCTGGCAGGGGTGCGAGGGGAGACCCCAGGGACAGGGAGGCTGTTTGGGAGTGCCCAGGGGAGGCGGGTGCTCGGGTTCCCACCAGGGGGCGCCCCTCACCCCCGGCCTCCCGGCGCCGGGTCCTGCGGCCACGCTCCCGGTGCTCCAGCACCCGGGCCGCCTCCGCAGACTTCTGCAGCTTCGACACGAAGCTCTCCACGTCGTCGAACACGTGGTTCAGTATGTCCTGGGGGACAGAGCAGGGGGACGAGTGAGACCCCCGAGTCCCGGACTCTCATCACTCGGGTCGAAGCCCCGCAGCCAGGAGCGCTCAGACACCCCCGGCCCAGGCCACACCTTCTGACGCTGGCCCTGCCCCCGTGCGGGCCCCGCGGGTCCCACTCGCAGGCGTCCGACTACGCCTGGGGACCTGGCCCC